CTCTCATTTCAACATTCCAAAACCGAGTTCATATCATCCATGTCAGTCATAGATTACTTCTCCAATTTTCCCTTCACATTATAGCATGAATTACAATGTTCATAACGTAGTTCATTCGCAAATTTTTAAACATAATTTTCAAACATTTCTAAATTCCAATTAAACTTGAACACATATAATTCAATACCTCAATTTCATTATTCTACTTTCAATTTGGGCCAAATCATTGGTTATCATCATTAATCAACCTAGGGTTGTAAAGAAAATTGGGGATTTTCCTCTTTTCTTAGTTAAATCTTTAAATCAACAATTACTATTTATCAATATGCTAAAAACATTCAACATCCTTTGAAAATTGGAGTGAAAACCCCATTTGTAAGTAAACAACAAGCCATTAATGTTTCTAACCCATAATCAACTCAAAATTCCAAAATGTCAACAAAATGCCAAAGTGGCAACAAAATCACTTTGAATTATAAACATTCAAGGCTAAGAGAACCCCCTACCTCAAGATTGGAAGCAAAGAAGCTAGATCGAAAGCGTCCTCTCAAAAATCTCAAAATATAATCGGTTGGAAAAGTTGATCTTCACTTCTTTTTCATCCTTGATGCACGATCCATGGTGGATTGTTGGTGAGAATGGATGAAATCAAAGGTTTGAGGGTTAGGTTTTCAGACCTAGGAAGAGAGGAAGGAAGAGGGAAGAAGAAAATATAAGAAATGATCCAAAAATCCCGTTTTTACGCTGCTGTGCTCGCGAAACCCGCTCGAGCGTCCCTATTCGCGCTCGAGCGTACCTGCTCCAGCACAGATGGCAAAACTTCAAATAGGTATAACTCTCCCATCCGGACTCCGTTTTAGGTCGTTTTTGTGTCCAAATTGAAGCCCCGGAAATAAGCTTTCCAATGGTTCTAACTTCACATTCAAATTCAAAGTGTGGAAACAGAAAAGGGCAAATGAGTGACAGCTGATCATAGGATAACTATCCGAATTATATTCTTTGGTCCAATCTTACTTTACCATCATACCACCACCTCAATCAATACCCCAAAGTAAGAGAAGAATATTCCAAATACACTAATAAGAATGTAAAAAATGAGCCCACGTGCCTCAGAAGTTCAAACTTAACCAGGCGGCCCGCTCGAGCGCCCAACCTTGCGCTCGAGCGCAGAGACCAACAAATCCGTCCGCTCGAGCGACCATTTCTACGCTCGAGCGAAAATCGCCACTCCCAGAATTTCAATCCGCCTGCAAAATTACTAGAAACCCCAAAAGTCCGCTCGAGCGCCAACTCGCCCCGCTCGAGTGGAGGGAAAAATTTCAGATCGTTACAGTAAAGGTCGTCAATTCCAGTTTTAAAGTCATAACTCAACAGATAGTTAGAGAAAATGGAGGGTCTCCCAAGGGTATGTACGTACTATGCCCCACCATATCATCTCGAAACATCAAGGGAAAGGCATAATGGGATCCAAGACCATCAATCGAGCATCGCAATGTATGATAGCCAAAGATCCAATTTGTGCAAACTCAATAAATGCATGACAACCATGACACTTAGACTATCAGCTTATCATGGGAGATCAAAGGCGATGGAGACCAAGGGAGATTGGCTCATTTCATCACTTCAAGTATGAAATAAGCTAATCCACCTTGTGTTCAACACAACATCCGATTGAACACAATGCAATGCACACGAACAACATGTCATGCAAACAATCATGCTAATCTTGACATGTTAAGATGGCATGCATGAGACTTTATCATGCAAGCAATGCATGCAAGACATGTTAAGGGGCTAAGAGCACCAAGGCTAGTGAAAAGAATAACACTATGAGCATGCATCACAATGCTCAAACAACCAAACCAGCTCAAAATAGAGTTACATCATGCCAAAGCAGTGGCCAAAACATGCTGGAATTGAAGCTCAAAGGGCTAGGAAAACATGCACACATGTTGGTCTACAAACTCGGCATAATGCTCAACTGTCAAACACAATCAAAGAGTGATATACATGAGAAGATGGAAATGCTATTTGCTCTGAAATCAAGTGCTAAATGATGCCAAATCACATAAATGCCACAAACAAAGCATGCTAGAAGGCTCAGAACTCAAAACTAGCTAAGGCACTTGCATCATAGCCATATCAAACAAGCCCCAATAGGCCAAGATGACTCAAAATAGTCCTAAGGCAGGTCAGAACAATGCCAAAAACATGCTCGAACATAGCCAACATATGCTAGAATAAAATGCCAAAGCACCAAGCATGTAAGACCAGAAAGTGGGATTACACTACAAGTATAAGAAGCAAATAAGGGATGCTCTAACCAACCAAAAATAGAGTTGTATCATTGCAACATAAGGCCAAAAAATACACTGAGATGGTAACCCAAAAGCTTAGGCAGGCATGCATACAAGTTAGGCCATAATTAAGGCATAAAGCATAGCTCTCCAAAAGCATTGAAAGAGTGAAGCATGAGAGAGTATGACCACATTATATATACTAAAATCATGTTAGATATGAGACCAAAGCATGCAAACAACTCAAGTGATGCATGCTAGAGACTTGACACTCAAAGCTAATCAAAGACACTTATATTACAACCATACAATGCAAGTCTCACATGGCCAAGACCAACCAAAACAGAGCTTAAGTATGTTAAAACAACACCAAAAACATGCTGAGATAGAACCAAAATAGGCTAGCATGATGGATTAAAACATTGAGCACACAAGGCTAAACGGTAAGATTACACTACAAGTGTAATAAGCATGCATGAGGCAACCAAACCAGCCAAAAACAAAATTATATTAAGTCCAAAAACCGACAAAAACATGCTCAAACTAAGCCTTACGAGGATAGAAATGCATGCTCATTTGATAGGCCAATAACACATGCTAACAAGACAAGGGGAAGGAGGACTACCCCCTCTCATTGTGGGTCTCAAAACCACATTTCTACCATTGAAAATCCACTGGATTTCAGTGGCTAAAAGACCAAACAAAGACTAATACAAAAGCTTCAAAGGATGGCTCAAAAGCTTAACAAATAAGGCACAAAGGGGGTGAAACACCCCCAACACCAAAGAGGCCTCAAACAATCATCTTAAACACTTGAAAACAAGGCTTTTGTAGTTGAAATCAAGGCCTAAAACAATATGCAAGGATGGCCAAATAAGCAATGAAAATAAAGCTTTAAGGAGGATATGGCACTCACCCTTGAAGCACAGTAATAACAACAAGTTTCTGAGGCAAAACCAAGCTAAAACTACCCAAATACAACCTCCAAGAACCTCAGCTCAAGAGTGAAGGTGTTCTACTATGTGTTGTAGTGCAAAAGTGAAGAGAAAATGCACTTTAAGGCACAAACTAGCACAATAGAGAGAGAGAGAGAGAGTGAGAAATATAGAGAGAGAAAGAGATATATTGTCTCTAAGGTGGTTGAACCTTTGGAAAGGGGGAGGAGCCTCCTCTTATATAGAGGCATGCAATGCAAAGCTTGTAAAACAAGCTTGAAAAGGCCTCCATCCCTTCATACACGTGTATGGAGGATGGCTCAGTGAAAACCAGCTGGCTCAAAAGATCTAGCACAAAATCTGTTGAGACAAGGTGTTCTGCCGGCCATCAGTGGTGGCCCGCAGTGCCTCATTGATGGTCGGCAGGCTTCATCAATGGCAGGCAGGGCCAAAAGGTGGCCGGCAGCACCTCACAAGAAGCATGCTGAAAGGACCAACACATGATCTGAAAATGAGACAAAAAGAATATAGGGTTTGGAAAGCTCAAACCTGTGACGTTCTGTCGCGAAATTCGAATACACGACGAGCAATCGAACTTGTCATTGGATGTTCTGCAAGCATATCTAAGTCTTGAGGATGGTCAATAATAGGGTCGCTACAGTTGCCCCTCTTTGACCGAACTCGGTAGTCACAAAGTGACAGGAGTGAATGTCAAAGGCTAGAGACGACCCATTTTTGACAAGGCCAAAGACTTAGGCAAAAATTAAAAATAACCATACAGAGATGCACCTGCAGGTTGGGGCAAAATGCAAATGACATGCACGATGCAGATCATAACTTGTTATTATGCAAAGAAAATTGTAATGAGGTATTTATGAAAATAAATACAATAATTTAAGCAATCCGACAAGTTGCAGAAGTCTCACACATTTCAACATAAGAATGTAAGAAAATTAAACAATTCTCACTGCGTCTCACGCGGAGAAGGCTAAAAAGCGAAACACAACATCTCTCAGCGTATCACAAGCAGGAGAGGAGAAAAAAAGAAAAAAAGGAAAAAAAAAACAACATCTCTCAGCGTATCGCACGCAGGAGAGGAAAAGGCAACATCTCTCAGCGTATCACATGCGAGAGAAGGAAAAAGTACACCTCTCAGCGTATCACAAGCGAGAGAGGGAAAGGTACACCTCTCAACATATCACACACGAGAGAGGGAAAGGAGCAACATCTCTCAGCGTATCACACGCAGGAGAGGAAAAGGTAACACCTCTCAGCGTATCACACGTGAGAGGAAAAAAAAAGCAACCTCTCTCAGCGTATCCCTCGTAGGAGAGGAAAAGGCAACACCTCTCATCGCATCACACGCAAGAGAGGAAAAAATCAACATCTCTCAGCGTATCACACGTAAGAGAGGAAAAGGTACACCTCTCAGCGTATCACACGCGAGAGAGGGAAATGTAACAACCCAAACGCTTCTAACAGGGTGTTAACGCAAACAAAGGGCGCACCCAGGCGTTTCTAAACAAACGGGGAAGGGAGAGTAATAGTGTTACCCTGAATCCCTCCGAATGAACCGTACATACAATATCGTGCATGTACGAGAGAGAAACCTAAAAGGTGCGATGCAAAACAATACATATCTCATGCGAGACGAAGGACCACAACATGATGCCAAGGCGTACTCAATGCTTAACATGCAAGAGATGGGACCGAAGCATGTTCTATGAGAGATAGTCAATGATGCATATTCAATGCAAGATAATTAACGATGCACATTCAATGCAAGATAATCAACGATGTATGTTAAATATAATGTGCAAATGCTATGTGACAACAAAGCATGCTCGATAAAGACAACTCGAAGGCAACTTCCGTTTACCTCCCGGAAGAGTTGCAATGCATTAAAAAGGATACACCTTGTGTGTGTTGATGAGTGATGGCCATTGCGCATCATGAACGCCATTCCGAGCTTCCGTGGAGGCACTTTGAATCAAATTTTGCATATTTACTTCATTTTAATTATGCTTCATCGGATACTGATCTTTTCGATGCACTCGCAGGAGCCCATTGAGTACACAGGGCAGGCCATTGATCTAGTGGCCTCCATGACAGAGATGATGGAGACGAGTCTGGATCTGCTCAGCCTCTAAAAAATCCCGGTGAGTTCTTTCGAATTGCACTTCATGCCACAAAGTCTTCTCTTGACATACTAGCATTTGTACAGTTCGACACTACACTGATCTGATACATTGCTCCCATACACTGCTTATGGCATACATACCTTGTAGATCACTCACTGCTCCCAGTATATTATTTTTTTATATCTGATACATTTCATTACTAATGCATTTTGGCGAATTGCCCTTTTTCAGATTCCTTTCTTGATGCCAGGCCCATCAGATGCCCCAGCAGGAGCAGGGGCGGGTCCTTCGGCACCTCCCCGAGCAGCAAGGGGAGCGGGACGAGGGACTCCAGCGCACAGCCGAAGCAGAGCTAGGTGTGCTCACACTGGGAGTAGTTCGCGAGAGCCTGCCCCAGACGATGATGAGTCTGACGAGGAGGCAGTGAGCCCACAGTCAGAGTCATCTCAGGATGAAGATGAGGCTAGAGATGGTTCGGGTTCAGACTCAGGTAGCGGAGCTGACGGTGGAAGTTTTGGGCCTTCGTCGAGGAAGAGGACGAGGATGGCTTCCCACTCTTGAGGCGACTGGCGCAGATTCAGACGTTTTGTTTTTGCTTTATTTCTCTTTTTACTAGTAGTTTTAGCACCTTGTACAGCCTCAGGTAGTTTTACTTTCTTTAAAACTTGTGCTCTTTTGTAAAAAGGAAACTATGATGGAATGAAAACAACTTTTTGTTGAAAAAGTGTTGCATTTTATATTCTGAGCATCGCATCGCACTATTTTGCATAAGAGTGAGATAGATGAAAATTGAACATCCGTGTATTGCCAAGTTAGGTAGTGAACCGACATAACAAACAAAAGCAACACAACTTAATCAGCAACAACAAAACCTTAACGAGTTTACAACTCGATAAGCAAATTACAACAACTCGATAAGCAACAAAAATACAACTCACAAACACCAAACGATTACAACTTAAACAAACAAACGTAAGCTGAAAAAGGATCAAAACAAGACCTTAAAAGGTGCAAATAATAGGATTCCACTACAGCAAACAACTGGATCTTCACCAAGAAGGTCAGTGGGCATGAGGGAAAGGTTGCCGGCCATAGGGGAAGGCAAGCCTGCCAGCCATTGATAAGCCACTGCCGGCCATCAATGAGCAGGTGCCGGCCATTGATGGCAGACTCTCCGAAACGTCGACATCGGTCCGCCACTCACTGCCTTATCTTCTATATGAGTTCCAGCTTCGGGATTTCCTCATTCTAACTCAGTTTTTACACCAAATGGAGGCATTTCTTGCCCAAAACCTCACAAATTGGATTGCAAGCTTGGATGGCTCGGAAAAGTTAAATTTCTGGGGCTTCGGAATAAATGCACTATTCATGCTGAGCCGGACCCCGCTGCGTTTTCCGTCCCTTGATGCCGCGGCAAGGTATTGGAATCCGGTAACTCATGTTTTTAGCTTTGGCGGACAAGAGATGTGTCCCCCTTTCGAAGACTTCCAAGCTTTGATGGAGTCTCAGCGCGATGAAGAGATCTTGCCCCAATTCCGTTTTGGCCACATCCAAGCCTTAGGACGGATGTGCGGGCTCACATTGCATGACGCTCAGTCTTTGATTCATGACGTAGAACTGGACATTCCGAGCCTGATTCATCAGTTTTCTGATGCCAGTGACCGCGACGATCATCACTGGCAGGGTTTTCGGCGACATGCACTTTGCTTGTGCATGTTGTCTCATTTCCTGCTTGCCCTAGGCTCCGGTGGGTATATCGTCTGTTTGATTGAGGTTGCCCAAGGTTTAAAAGAGGGCAAGAGTTGTATTGCCATGACGCTAGCTGAGACATTGATGGGTTTGGATGCTTTCCATCGCCGAGAGACGACTAGATTCGCGGGGAGTCCACTACTGCTGCAAGTAATGTTTCCTACCCTATCTCACATATATTTCTCAAATCGCTCAGCCCTCAGGCTAGATTTTTCTCTCAGAACCCTTTTCTCACTTTTCTCTCCGCTTACACCTCTCTATTCTTTAATCTCTCATTTTTATCCCTCCCCAGATATGGTTGATGGATAAGTTAAAGGTTGTGGACTCATGCCCAGCATATTCAGCTCACAGCTATTTCTTCCAGCGACGTCTAGTCGATGCCCCTGATGAGGGATGGTGGTGCGAATGGATGTGCAGTCTATCTGCTATCAGCATTGCTTGGCGCTGGCCCTATCTCAATCTGCCGGCGATGAGCTACAGCATGTCTCGCCAGCCCGGGATTCAGGTGATCGGCCTTACACACAGTGTCTTTTACTTCCTATTTTGATTCCGACACCAATTTGGGCATGATCAGAGTTGCCCGAAAGAGGGGATAGAGCACCCTGCTGCATTTCCAGTCCGAGGCGCACAGCTAGCTCGGTATGCCACAGCATGGAGGACGAGAGCTTCTAGCCCCTACTCCCACTTTCAGTTGCACCCTCTCTGATGAATGCATAGCTTGGCTTGACAAAGAGGCGCATATTGGGCCTACTTTGGCATCAGAGGCATCGACTAGCTCTGGGAGGAGGCGCAGGAACACCTGACTTGACTATGCCCCGAGTTTATTGCTTTATCAATACTTTCAAGTTTTCTTTGTGAATGTAATAAAAAGCAACTTCAATTTGTATTCAAGAGTAGGAGAACTCTGTACTGAAATCAATGTAATTAAAGGTTGTGGATACTGAAAATTTTCCATTTGGTCCAAAAATGGTTTAAGTCGTAAGAAGATTAATTTGAGCAAAATTAAATTTTATTAAAATTTGCCAAAACCATTTTCGATATGGATCACAACTGGACACGCTCGAGATCTATCACTGAGATGTACAACCCTAGATCCAGCAACTGGAAAGTTGCCCCTAGTTTGAATAGCACTGCACTGGAGATCACAACCGAACCCTTGAATGCAGAATAGACAAAGATGACCAATATGATCACATAAACAAAGTTGATCGGGGAAGTGTTTATGGCTGGACTTCATAATGAAGTTGCCTATGTATCCCGAAGATGGGAATCAAGCCTTACGTAATTCGGTTCAGGTTCACTCGTGTATTAACACTCTCCTTTTGTGCTCTAACTTTTTCCAAGGCCGCCCTTTCTGAGTTTCAATCTTGTGAGCTTAGTTTTTATTATTTCTAATTTTCTGTGCTCTAACTTTTGCGTAGGTCGCCCTTTCGGGTTTGCGGCCTAGCGAGCCACTCAAGGATAGTATTTCTTCAACTTGTCCATGTTGATCGGCTGGAAGAATTCAAGGCCATCTAAATCCATCAGAACGACAACCCCACCCGACCAGATAGACCTGATGATGTAAGGGCCAGTCCAATTGGGTCTGAACTTGCCCCTAGGGTCGTGGATGAAAGCTCGGTTGTCTTTGAGCACTAAATCCCCCTCTTTCAAATTCCTGGACTTAACCTTCTTGTTAAAAGCCCTGGAAATTCTTTGTTGATAACCCTGGACGTAATACAGTGCTTTCAGCCTTCTTTTATCGAAGAGCATGAGTTCTTCGAACCTACTTTGCTGCCAATCTGCCTCAACTATCTAACACTCAGCCAATACTCGTAATGACGGAACCTCAACTTCGATAGGCAGAACAGCCTCCATCCTATAAACCAAGGAATACGGAGTTGCCCAAGTAGAAGTTCGAATTGAAGTCTGGTAGCCCCAAAGAGCAAATGGTAATTTATCTAGCCAGTCCCTGTAGGTTTCCACCATCTTTTGCAGAATGTGCTTGATGTTCTTGTTGGCGGCCTTAACTGCTTCGCTGGTGTGCAGCCAATATGCAGATGACTTATGAAAAGCCACGTTGTACTTCTCTAACAAGTCGATCACCTCCTTCTTGAAGTGGGAACCATTATCTGAAATAATCTTATTCGGGACCCCATAGCGACAGACAATGTTGTTTTTGATGAACTTAGCGACGTGCGACACTTTCAACACCGCGTAAGATTGGGCCTCAACCTACTTCGTGAAGTAGTCTATCGCTACCAGAATATACTCATGCCTGTTAGACCCCTTCGAAGTGATAGCCCTAATTACATCAATCCCCCAGACTAAAAACGGCCATGGCGAAGTTATGTTGTGCAGCTTTGACGGTGGAATGTTCATGCAGTTTGCATGGATCTGACGTTTGTGGCATCGCCGGACAAAGCCAATACAATCCTCCTCCATGATTGACCAGTAATAACCCTGTCTAAGGATCTTCCGGGCTAGCATCACCCCGCTCATGTGCGCTCCGCACTCTCCTTCATGGATGACCTCCATCAGGCGCTTGGATTCTTCAGCATCAACGCATAGCTTATGCATCCCTAGATGACCCCTCTTGTACAGTTTACCCCCGTAGACGATAAATTGAGCTGCCATTCTTTGAATTGCCCTCTTATCTTTGGCATTTGCCCCTGTTGGATAAGCTTCCTTTTCCAAGAAGTTCCAGATGTCGTAATACCAGGGGTTTTGATCTTGTACCTTATCTATGGCAGCAATCAGCTCGTAGGCCGGCACAAATTTATGTTCAATGATGATCGGACGCATCCGGACACCGAAAGGAATGTCTATCATAGAAGATAGAGTTGCTAATGAATCAGCGAACTTGTCGTTCTCTCTTAACAGATGGGCAAAATTCAGTTTCTCAAACCAAGGAATCAGAATGTCCAAGGTCTGGTGATAGATTCTTATCTTTTCTTCTTTAACTTTCCAATCTCGTTTAGCTTGAGATACAACAAGGTTCGAGTCCCCGATGACATCCAATTGTTTTACCCCTAGTTCTAGGGCGGCTTCTAGTCTAGCAATACATGCCTCATACTCTACCTCATTGTTCGACACTTTGAACCAGAGTTTGAATGCTAAAGGTATACGGGAATTGTCGGGTGCTATTAGCAACACCGCTGTCCCATACCTGTATTGGTTTGACGCTCCGTCAAAGTACATTGTCCAAGTCTCTTCTTCGACATGCAGAATGGCCTCGTCTAGGAATAGATATTCAACTGCTTCATCCCCTTCAACTGGGTGGTCGGCTAGGAACTCCACCATCGCTTTCCCTTTCACTAACTTTTGCGTCATGTACTTCAGATCAAATTCGAAAAAGCAGAAGCAACCAGCGAGCTAGCCTACCCGTAAGTGTCGGTTTCTCGAAGAGATATTTGATGGGATCTAATCTTGAAACCAGTATTATAGAGTGAGCTAACAGGTAGTGCTTCAGCTTCCTGGTAGCCCATACCAAGGCCAGACAAGCCTTCTCCAGCGGCGTGTAGCGGGTCTCGTATTCCAACATTTTCTTGCTCCGATAGTAGATAGCCTTCTCCACTTTGTCCTCAAACTCCTGTGCAAGCATGCAGCCTATTGTCGTTTCAGTCATTGATAGGTATAGAATCAACGGTTTCCCCAACTCAGGCAGTGACAACACAGGTGGGTTCTGTAGATATTGCTTGATCTGCTCGAAAGCAACTTGGCATCGGTCATCCCATTGGAACTTCTTTCCTTTCTTCAGGAGACCAAACAGTGGTTCACAAGTCAAGGTTAATTTTGCAGTAAACCGTCTTATGAATTGCACTTTACCCAGA